GTTCACGGCCGTGCCCCAGAGCTTGCGCGCGAGGCCGTGGCGCAGGGACCGGTCCCGGAGCAGGCCCCGCGGCGTGAGCCAGCCGCTCGTCGGAGCGGGCCGCTCGTCGTCGCCGTCTTCTTCTTTCGCCTTGCCGTGGTGGTCGTAGGCGACGTCGTTGCTCCGCGACCGCGCGAGGATCGGCGGCACGGTGCCGCCGCTGCCGCTCCGGAGCCGCTCCGGCGCGAAGCGCGCGGTCTTCTCCGCGGGCGCGGGCCCGTCGAACTCGCCGGACTCGCACTTGAGCTGGTTGATGGCGTCGGCGACGGTCCGGCGGCGCGCCGCGGCGCTCGAGCTCGCGCTTCGCGAGCCGCCCAGCGACGACGCGGGCGACGCCGCGCCGCTCGCGGGCTCCACGCGCAGGAGCTCCGAGACCGCGCCGTGCAGGTGCATCTCGATCTCGTCCGGCGACAGGATCGGCGAGCCGCGCTCCTTGGAGTGGCGCGGCGACTGCATGCCGTGGAGCCGGCTCGCCTGCTTCTTGAGGAACGTCGCGATCTCCGCGTCCTCGTCGCGGGGCTCCTCCTCGCTCACGGCCGACAGGCCGCCCACGTAGCGGCTCGGGCTGCCCCGCCCGGGCGACGACGAGCCCCCGCGCGCCGGCGACCTGTCGCCGTCGGCCTGCGCCGGGGCCAGCTCCACGGCGAGCGGCACCTTCGCCTCGTCGTCGCCGTCCGGCGCCATGGTCGACGACCTCCAGGGGTGGTGTGGGAGCCCTCGTCAATCCCTCGTCACAGAGGGCTGGGTGTAAAATTGAGAAGGGGGTGTTTCCCTGCAACTTAAAACAACTCAACATGATAACGCCGAAGCTTATGGGGCGGTCCTCCGGGGTGCGCGGAGGTGGTTTCGCGCAGCGGCCGGTGGTGGGGCCCGCCGCGTCGGCTCCGGTGGGCGCCCGGGGCGGAGCACCCCGCTGCGCGCGTCGATTGGGCAGCGGGGCGCCGAGCGCGAGGACTTGCAGGGCTTGGCCATCGGCGCGACGTCGCCCATGGGCCCGGGGGGCTGCCGCGCGCGCTCGCTTCGTTCGGATGCCTTCGACGTGAGTCTCG